GGCCACTAGATAGCGCCAAAGGGAGCCTGCCAAGGCTGGAGGAGGAAGAAGAGACTGACTTCTTAAATTTTTGTTCTGTTCTTGTCAGCATCACCTCAAAATACACTACTCCCCTTGGCAGCAACAAATGGCTCCTGTTTAGATTGCGTGGTGTTTTTCATACTTTCAAAGCTCACCTTGTGTCCCTCAGACATACCAGCTCCAGATATCTGGCCAGAGACTCTCCTGAGAGATCTGGATCTAGTCACATGGGATCCTCCCTCCAAACTCCTGAGGCATCAGCAGTGAGCACATGCTCTCTTCTGAATTCCTGATGAGCCACACAGTCAGGGAACAGCCGCTCTGGAGAGAAGTCTGGGCCCCATTTCCTAGGGCCTCTCCACATGTCAACATTCTTTGTTCTCCCAGCCCTGTGAGTGGAAGCTGCTTCCTACAGTTACTCCTCAGCGATTCCCTTTCACTTTTCAGTCCTTCAAACCCCTTTAATGACTTTTTTTTTACTTTAAATCTGCCAGTTAGAATAACCAGGGAGATTTTGTTTTCTTAACTAATGGATTAAATGACCCCAAGAAGGAAATAGATTGGCCAAATGAATTATGGTACTTCCGCACAACAGAATGCTATGAAGTATTAGAAAATTGCATATATAGGATTACTCAAGAAGCTGAGAAAATGCTCATGATATATTCATACAAGGGGGCTTCAAAATTCATGGAAAAATGGAATTAAAAGAAAATGGGATTTTTCCATTCCATTTTTGAAAATATAAAGATAAAACACATTAAGGTGTATTATGAAACCAACCTTTCAAAACTAAGAAAGTGTGTGTCAAGGGGGCATACAGCAGGATCTATGGAGACAAAAAGATCAGTCAGGCTCATAGGGTATGGTGCTGCAGGATAAGCACAGGACTGCTAACTCCAAGGTCAGCAGTTCAAACCCACCAGTCGCTCCTTGGAAACCCTTCACAGAGTCAGTATGAGTCAGAACAGACTCAATGACACTTAACAACAATGACATCTCCAGATAGTAGGAATTACACAAATATGGATCTCTTTCCATCAGTTGGCCAGGTAGTTATCATTCAAGTTTCTTGGCATTGATGAGTGAGTGCCTCCAGTGTCGTGTCATTTTGTTGAAAGATTTCAACTTGTATTCCATCAATTCCTGGTGTCTTGTTCTTTGCAGATGCCTTCAATGCACCTGGGACTTCTTCCTTCAGGATCATTGGTTCTTGATCATATGCTATCTCCCGAAATGGTTGAACATCGACCATTTCTTTTTTGTCTATTGTTATTGTT